ATTAGTGTGTGAGTGTTCGAATTGTTATTGTAATTTTTCATTATTATTATTGTTTTTTTTTTTTTTTTTCTAGATATATTTTTTCTTTATATGCGTTTTTCCTTCAAGCAGTAGGAGAATGAACGTTGCATATAAAGTTTTTTTTTTTAGATTTTGTTTAGTTAGTGCTTTAGAAATTTTGCTCAAATGCAGGATGTGTCGAAAGGTCTATACGAAAGATCATCTCTATAAAAAACAAAACGACTTTTTAGTGCTTCAGCTTGTTACAATTACCAACTTGAATTTGAAATTTCAAATTTTGATGATGAATTTCAATATATATATATATATAAAGTGTTCAACTTGCCAGTTTTAATTTTTAAGTACTTTTATTTGTATTTTCATTGTTAGTTTTTTTTTTTATTTTTTTATTTTGTATTATTGTTATTAAATTTTCACACTACTTTTCTAAAAAATATATTCAATAATATTAATACAAATAATTGTACATACAATATAATTAATTATAATAAATACCAACTTGCTATAGCATAATATATAATAATTCGTTAATAATACTTTTCAACTGGCTCTCTTTCTCTCTCTTTCGTTAACTGTGGGGCGGGCAACTGGTTTTCCATTTTATTTATTTTTATATTTGGCCACTTGACTTCTCAGTGTGTTAATAAAAAATACATATTTCAAATATTTCATCATTCTTCTGCCCACTAATTCTTTCATATATTTAATGACTAGTAAACGTTTACAATTGTTTATTTGTTTTATGTTTCTCATTGCGATTTATTTTTTTATTTTTATTTTTGGAAGTACAAAAAGCAAAATGCTGCCTGGTAAAGTTCTATTGAGCATTTATTGCATTTTCATTTTTCACGTTTTTCGTTTTTGGGTTGTTTTTTTTTTTTTTTTTCAAGAGAAATTTTATTATCAAATATTCTTGGAAAAGTTTGGAGGGCGTTTCGGCTGTTCTCTAGTCTCTCGAAATTACGAAATAAAATTCATATTATTGTTAAATATTTTTTGCTTTAAAATATTCGCTTGGAGTCGAAGAGATTTGCTCCAGCAACCGAGAGGAAGCCCATAAAACGAGTAGCTTCACGTATGTATGTATATATACATACATACATACATATATACCGAACGTCATAATATAAAGTAAGTTATGCTGCCAGTGGAACCCTAAACGGTTCAGTTATACTCCAAATTATGTATATAGAGTTTATATACTATATAAATTCAGTGCTGTATAATTATGTTTTTTTTTTTCTTTTGTTAATTTAAAATTTTTGTTTTGTTTTTTATTATTTTATTTTGCTCATCGTTGCGTGCTTTAATTGTGTGTTTCGGCCATGGAATTGCTTGCAAAACTAATTACTCTCTCAAAACTCAATTTTATTGCTGATATTCATACATATATATATGTATATATATATTTGTTGTTAGTTGATCTGGTCTGTTGTGGCATTTCCAAAAATTTGTTTTTTCTTTTCATCAATCATTTCATTTACATATTATTTAATTAATTAATTTCTTTTTTTTTTCAGTCTTTACGATTCACGGCTTTGTGCATTTAAATTTTTCAGTTTTATCGCATTATTTTATGACCGATATAGTTGTACGATATATGTACGATAGATATAGACATATCTAGTGCAATTTACAAACGAATGAGCGTGTGTGAAAATTTTTCAAACCGTTTGCGCGTGTGAGAATTGTGATACATACATATATTGATGGCTGAGCAGGTGAGTTTCATATAGAGGTGCGGTTATTATCAACGTTCTTTAAAAACATATGCATATACATATATGTATGTTCGATTAATTGGGAGATGTTGTGGGGGGGCAGTGTTTTGGCTTCGTTCGTAAACAAGTTTGGTATATATATTTTATTGTTACTGTTGCTTTGGCTGCTCTATTGATCCAGCGAGGCGGTTTTCGTACGCTTCCACAACGTCTTGAAGAGACCCTTCTTTTTGGCCTTGGGCGTGGCAGCAACACCAGCAGCAGAGGCGGCAGCAGCACTGTCCTTGCTGCGACTGCTGCTCTCCTTGCGCTTCGTGGAACCTAGAGAAAGAGAATGAATGTTATTAATGAAGACTAGTATCTATCACTTTAAATATAATATCTTGTATCGTCTACTTTTTATATTTTTAACGTCGACTCTATATAAATTTGAGTTTCGTTAAATTTGTGATACAACTTATTCTTAACTAGTTGTCATCATTCAATTGATTTTACGATCATGATGAATTGGCGTAATATAGCTGCGATTTCCGATCAGGAGATCTGCATCGTTAGATTGGAATTCTTATGATTTTGCTCCATAGGAAAAACTATTAGAAATAATTGTATATGAAGAATTGTAGAGTACTACAAATAGTACTTAGAAAGTTGTATATTTCCATTGTAGAAGAGCAACAGAATTTATAAGGAAAGTTATAAGACCAAAATGCATAAAAGTCTTTAGTTCATACATTGATTTCGATAACAATTTCTATTGTTTATATCCTTAGCTTGGACTCATATGTAAACTTCTTGGCTTAGTTATAATAGAAAATTGATCAACATAATTGCCTGGATTTATGTATATACTCATACGGAGAGCTTATAAAAACAGTTCTGCTAAGAAAACAGCTTAGGTATTATATATAGAACCTATGTCAACGCTTAAGCTAAGATCTTTTCCACAAGAGCACTCCTAGTGCTATAGTTGCCTTCTTCTCATTGAATAGATCTAAGGTCTCCAGAGTTCTCCTTACCAGTTTCAAATTCATAGGCATGCTTGCTATTGCTTTCATCCATGGGCAGATCACTGTACGCCTTGTGCTTGCGCTCCTTATTATGCTCTAGCAAAATAAACACAGAGAGAGAGAGAGAGAGAGGGAGAGAATAAGTCAATGTCATTAGCATTTAGTTCCGCACTTACTCTTCTTGGTGATTAGCAAGCTGGTGACACGACGCAGCGCTTCGCGCGGCGACTTGTTCAGGAAGGAGGGCGTCAGGTTGGGCGGCAGGGTGAGCGGCTTGCGTGACTGGCCCGTGCCGGACATGCCAGCCGGATTGTCCCAGACACGCACCGAGGCCAGGCGATCGATGTTCTCCGTGGAGGCGGGCCGCATGTTGCGCTGCTTCGGATACCAGCCGCGCGCCGGGGCGCCCGTCATGCGCAGCATTTCATTGGAGGCTAAGGCATGATTGATCGAACGCTGTCGGCAGATCTGAGCGGTGCCATAGGCGCCAGCTAAGCGTAGGGGAATTGTGGATGAGCAGATGTTGGCTATGCTGGCAATGCCTTAACTTGACTTACCGCCTATGCCCAGAATGGAGTTGCCCATGTTGATGCTGTTCGATGTGCTGGACCGTGGCGCAGTGCGGGAGCCACTCACAGGTATGGGATCATTTTGGCGACGATATGGCGTACGTGGTATGTCACAGCTGAAATGAAGAGCAGAACACAAGGTAAACAAGAGTGTGCTGGTCCAGATTGCTCGACTAACTGATACCATACACCCTGGGTTATGTGTTGATCAGCAGTAAAATGTGTAGACCTATCTAGTTTTGTCTATATTTGTCGGTTAAGAGCAATCG